AGATATCAGCACAGTAATTTGTTCAGCCCAATTAGCTGCAAATCACTTCTGTGTGCAAACTTGCTTTTAGCTGTGGGAGACGAGTCTACTTTTCTTACTGGCTTTTTCAGAGAGTACCGTCCCTCGCTTAGGAATTGTGCTCTTCTTTTGTAAGGAGAGAAGTGTCTTCCATCTACACATTATCATGTGCTGACACTCACAAAATTGCATTACTGGGAAGTCATAAGAAATAAAATCATCCCTATGTTTGCTTTAATATTTGTGTCTCAACCTGTTCAAGCAGGACTCGCTGTAATTCATCACAGGCCACTGTTTAATTTCACAAGGAAGTGGAAAGCCTGCAAGAGCCATTCAGACCTATGAAAAACAGATACAATTTCACTTTTTCTACCATTACGGGGAAACGCAGAAAATGGCAGATAGTGCATCAGCATTTCACGTTAATGAAAAGTGCAGCTTTCTGCTTGAGCAGGCAGGTCATTAATGACTGAATAATCAGTGACATTTCCTGCTAACTCTGACATGAGCAGAACGTAGCGCTCTAGTGAAAGCCATTAAGCCTTACCTCTACTTCCAGGGTATGAAGAACACGCTCCAGCATCCTCAGATTTTAGTCATTATATTTATGTTGCAGGGTCCTCAGCCACGGGCTATGCTAAGCAGTCTGCAAACAATAAATAGTTGTCCCTACCTGCACGTTTTTAAATGGTTTCTCTCCCACACTGGGATGTGGAAAAGCTTTTGCAGATGAAAGGGGACCCAGCCAGTTGGACTATTTTCTTTGAATAAGACCTAAATTGCTGTTGAATGCACAAAGTAAAATAGGAGGGCTGCGGAAGGGACAAAATCCCTTTTTTTGCTCTCGTAATGTTTCTGTGATCCTGGTTCTCGTGTGCCAGATTAGATAAAGCCTTTGCGAGCACAATTTTGATTTTTAGTTAGACCTTGACTTTAAGTCTCTTAATCTTTTAGTAAAGTCTTCACCTTTTAAGGCAGCAGGCAGCTTTCTGTGAATGAGAACCCCACACCTCGTGACAAGTGCAGGGAGATCAGCTGTACCTGTTTGAAGTAGTGAATTAAAAAAAAAAAAGTGTGTGTTTTGGGGGGGGCTGTTGAGAAAGATAATTAAAAATACCTTTCCCCTGTGTATTCTATGCTAGGGAAGGGATTAAACAGAGAAGTAGATTGGAAACGTGTTGCTGCGTCTTGGACACTGTGTTATATCCAACTGTGTTTTACGATGTAGATATTCTTATTTTCTAAACTCCCTTTTCTCTGGGCCCCAAAACTGGCAAGGCCAATGCAAACTCCTCTCTGGTTAATTGGTCTAAAATGCCTGTAACTGCGTGAGGAAGTTTCAGTGTAGCGTTTCAGTCCAGTTTACAGCCCCAAACTAGCTGCAGAGCCATAGCAGTTAACAACCAGCACAGGCAGACTTTAAAAACAGGATGAATTCAACAGCTCTTTCTTTTGCCTGTGTTTTTAATTCTGTCTCGCACACAGAAAAGGTGCCAATTACAGGTTTATATCTGAATGGAAAACATGTTAAAGCATTCTAAACTTATGTTTTTGGAGCTTTTACAACTTAAAAGAATAAATCATCGTTAACCTAATTAGCTGTAAGTTGTTTTTAGCCCAGGGTGACTTTGTTTTATGTTAAACTGAGATGGTTCCAGTTTAAAAATTCACATTGCATCCCTCATTGAGAAATCTGCCTGCAAAAATTGGGACAACTTGGGTCAGAAATAGATTATATAAATCTGTGCTTATGTGGTACCCTGATTTTTTTTTTTAAAGCCTGCATGAAGGGATAGAGCTGATTGCAATTGAACTGCTTTTAAATGTGCATTGAACAAGTGCTGTAGATTCAAAGCATGTCGAGTAATGGTTTCTTGCAACCTTCCTGTCACTGCAGATAGAGCCCATGTCCTTTGTGGTATTGGCTGAACAGCTGCACATAAAATAAGTCTGTATTAAAATTAGTTTAGCTTCATGGTAATAATAGTACAGTAGTACAAATTTGCTCTGAATTAGATCAGTGATCCAGATGCCGGTATCCGTCCAGGAGCTTGTAACTGTGGTCATCCAAGCATGTGTAATTTCTAAGTAACCAGGTTCATTAATAATGGAGTAAGAAGAAATGCAGGAAAACATTATAAATGGTTAACCACTTCACATTCCAGCCTCTTGTAGATATTGTCAGAAACCGCTGAAAACCACTCTCTATCTGCTTGCAGGGAAGTAAAAGCAGGCCGACATGCAGAGTTGCTTTGACACAGAAAGCTTTGCTGTGCTCCCAAAAACTACCTTTGGATTTGCAATGCACCCTCCACTACAGCCCGTGTAAGCAAACAGGCAATTTGTGATCCGAATCTCTGCACAATACTCTTTGGCTCGTCTTGCAATGGAGGTCAGATTAGATTATCATCACAGCCCCCAATCTACGAACGAATCCCTTCCTAATCACTGCCGGAGGCTGTACTTGTTTTTGTGTGTTTTTTGTGGGGGAAGGGGTTCCTTCCTTGCCTTACTTCTGCTCCTTCCTTCCTAAGATCTGTCTGAACTAAGCATGGCCATCCTTGGCCATCCAAACGCTTAGTGGAAGTGAGCTCCATAACTGAAGGCTCGTTCCCAGCCCTGGAGATCAGGGTCTTGTGTTAAATTTGTTCTTGGAAGATGGGCCCAATTCAGGAGTCCCTCGGTAATGTGCCCTTGTTGACCTGTATTGCTTAGGAGAGGGTCTTCTGTGTGCTGGGGGCAGACCTGTGCATTGAGTGTGCCAGTGATGAGCAGTTGTGGGTGAGTCCACACAAATATGGTAACAGGCATTATTTCTGCTTTATTCTGGGCATCTGGAAACACCAGGAGGCAAAGTGCCTCCGGAGCCATTGCCCTGGGATGTTCATAACATGTCTCTCCAGGATTTCCTTTCATCCTGTGATCACTGCAGGCGCTTATCTTCCTCGAGCACCTGGGCAGCTGAGTGATGGGTCCTCTGTTTGGTGTCAATGAGGGGTAGAGCTCTCCTTCACTTGTGCGCTGGCAGAAAAGGCTGTATCCTCTCCCAGTTTCTGCCAGCAGGTTTATCTAGATGCTGAATAAAGGCAGGAATGGAGCACCGAGGGATGCTGGGGTGACTGCTGGCAAGGCCTAGGGTACCTGTAGGCATTGCTGTCTTCTGGGTAACACCGGTCTGAACTCCAGCGAGGCTGGCACTGCTGGCTGTACTGGTAATCAGAGATGTAACCTGCAGAACACTTCTACCAAGAGGCTGTTCCTTCTCGAGTGGCTTTCTTTAAGTGGCTGACCCACTGCTCCCACGGCAGGTCTTGCTTTTCTCCTCCCCAGAGCTGCCTCTTGCCATCTGGTGAAGGACAGCACCTGCGCAGACTGAGGTCCTGCACCCTTGTCCTTAATTATTCATGTCCCCAGAGCTGCTGGGCCCTTGGATGCAGCTGGAGACATAGCTTTTGGTCCTGGCTGCTCTCTCTGGAGCAAACTGGCCCCGAGGGCTCCTTCATTTTTAGTAGTTTGTACTGTGAGCAGCATTGGCAAGACAGTGTTTTTATCCTGGAGCTTTTAAAGCGGGATTCGCTTTCTCCTGCTCAGCAGCTTAGCTGCTTCGTGGAGGCTACGCCGTAGTTTGTCAAGAATGTTATCTGGGGAGTGCAAAATAAATGGGCGAGTTTTGTGTGGGAGACGGGCTATTTCTGTATCTTTTCTGGCAGCCGTGCTCTTCACCCGGGTTGCCATAGTAGTAACAATAACATCGCGTTGTGTGGCAGCATCCCTGTTTGCCAAGAAAGCGAAGAGCGTGTTTACAGAAGTGGTGCTAACTTCAGGACGCAGCTCCCAGGCCTGTTCTCAGACTCCGGGTGCTCTTTCACGCTGCCTTGAACGCTTTTGGGGAACAAACAGGAGCAGAAGGTGGGGCCGGGGAGGGACCGCCTAATGCTAGGGACCTACACAGCACTCTGAGCGTTGGATGTGGTCCCTCTGCCTTCCCTTGGTGCACAGAAGAAGCATGTGAATTTTTTCCCAAAGCTTCCCTCAGGTTTTCATTTGGCCAGTGTCAGGAGTGGCAAGCTGTTCTCCGAGTCTGGCTGGTGGAGCTGAGTACTGACACGCTACAAGCTGTCACAGCTTTTAACCAGCTTTGTACCATTGCCAGGTCCGACTGTGGCTGGGGGAGCCTGCTATCCCCCCACCCTCCCTTCCTGTCGCAGAGAGAGGACCCGTCCACCTCCTTCCCACGCAGCCACACACAGCACACATCTGACTGCTCATTTGCAGGCGCACACCCCTGTGCGGTTACTCATCCACGCCTGGACACGTGCTGTGTAGCTTACACAATCTGCAGCACGTGGTTCTTGTCGCTCAGCCTCAGATACACACACCAGGCCATGCTTTCTGTTTTACTCACACACTCCCACACCAGGAGGGAGAGGGAGAGAACTGAAATCTCTTACAAAAAAAGAGAACTCTCCATTTTGCAGGCCCCCTTTATCCATACTTCATGCAGAAGCAAAAACGTGCAACCCCCCAATGTGTTTACCATTTGTAGGTCATCTTTGACCACACAGGCAGTCCTTATCTAGCAGAGTTCCAACCCACGGTGACGTCTGAAAGCAGCCAAGTTATCCATAAACCCCTGGAAACCAGAGCTGGAAGGAGGAATGCAAATGGTCCCTCCTATGTAGCTGCTGGTTCCCGAGTCTGAACCTGAAATGGAACGGTCAATGTTTAACACACTGCACAGTGCATAGATTTCCTGGGGGGAAGGCAGCCAGTGCCTGGAGAATGAGGCTTGCTGGGAAGTCACCTGTCCTTTGGGCTTGTGGTTTCCTCCAAAGCAGCCAGCTACTGGGCTCTCTGTGCTGGGCCTGGGACGCTGGATCATGAGCGGGGAAAATGCAGGACTGGTACCATTTTGCCTTTTGAGACCTTTCCAAGCAGGAGAAATAAATGTTGCCTCCCCTCTCTCCCTCTGCTCTCTGCAGGCGACGTTGTGGACATCTATCAGCGTGAGTTTCTGGCTCTCCGGGACCGTCTGCATGCTGCCGAACAGGAAAGTCTGAAGCGCTCCAAAGAGCTGAACCTGGTTCTGGATGAGATCAAGCGTGCCATCTCAGAGAAGCAGGCCTTGAGGGACATCAACCGGACATGGAGCAGCTTGTCCGGTGAATGACGGAGCTGAGAGCCGCAGCGGTTCTGCTGCTGTTGTTGCAGAAGGGGTAGCAGGGCATGTGTGGTGGTGTAGGGCTGTCCTGTTGCTTCCCAGTGCACACGCTGTGTGCAGGGTTCAGCTAGCCTGACCTGGTTCAAGGGGCTTGGATTTCAGAGCTGCTTTCTGACAAGTGATGGCACTGCAGCATTAAGCACTGAACCCCGCTCTGTAGATAATCTCTGCTGTCCCTCATGTTATGGGTTACATGTGCAGCTTCTGAATGCTGTGGCCTCTGGACTGCACCCAGGCGGAAGGGGGACTGCTGGGGAGAGCTTTAGTTTGTTCAGTGCTCCTTTTATGCACTGAAAACAGGTGAAGTGCTGATCAGAGGAGGAAAAGATCCTATTGATGAGATTCAGTTTGATCTTTGTGTACTACCTTGCTGAGATTTGGGGTCCCTTTCGGTTCCTGATGCACACAGCTCCCATAAATGCTCATGGGGCTTGAGGGTGTACAGTGGTGATGCCCTACCAATAACCCAGTGGGGTCATATTGCTCAAGGAAGACTTTTTGTCACCGGAAGCATTGTGGTCTCCTCCTGCCTAGTGCTTTCCATATTGACTTCCTCTTCCTTTTTAAGATGAAACCAAGTTAAAGCTGTGGAACATCACCAACAAGAACGTGCTGCATCTTCCCACCATCTTCCATCATTTGCCACATTTGCTGTCAAAGGAGAACAGTCTGCAGCCAGCTGTGCATGTGGGACAGGGGCGCACTGGAGGTAAATAGGAGTTAGTGCTGCTGCCAGGGCTCTTCCCTTTACTCTATGCCTGCCCCTCTCTCTGCTCTTCGCTAGTCCTGGCTGGTGTGTGGAGATGGGCAGGACAGGAAGGAGGGGCTGCATGCTCTAGGCCAGCTTCCTTACTGTGATGGGGCATTGAGATGGATATAAGCACCTTTAATTGTTGCAGACCAAGAAGGTGCGCAAAGATATTGTCTGTGCTTTGGCCGGCACTGAAATGCTACTTGCCGCTTCCACCTGCGGCTGTCCACCAGGGTATCTGATTGCTTTCTAAGTGAAATCCATGGCAGTCGCCTGATGGGAAGCTGTGCCTAGAGTCAGGTGTAGTGTTGACGTGGGGCTGAGTTGCACCTGTTTAGGCTGCTGCAGTTGTAGGGGTTGCTTGGTGGAGGGTGGTGATCTGAGTAGAAGGGAGGCCCAGTGCAGAGTGCTGTCTTTGGGACACAGAGGCCTTTCTAAAGATGAAGGCATTGCAGCATTTCCTCAGGTTGGGCTTGGTAATGTGACAGCTCTGCTGAATGTCTCCGTGGGAGGCCCTGCCAGGCAGCCCCTAATGCCTCCTGTTTTCTGGCCAACATGTCCTCATCAGAAATAAGGGATCTTGCTCACTGGGTTCATTTGGTGACTTAGCCTGGGTTCCAGCAGGCCTGTCCCTCACTAGCCCATTTCCCTGTGGGGGAGCAGCACAGCACCCAAGGCAGGAAAAAGGCAGAGTGCAGCATCCTGTTTGTTTTTCGGGTGTGACCACTTCTAAGAATGCCCCTTCTTGGCTCTGGCAGTGTCCATCGTGATGGGAATCCCCAGCGTGAAGCGGGAGGTGCACTCCTACCTGACGGACACGCTCAACTCTCTGATCTCGGAGCTCACCCAGCAAGAGAAGGAGGACTGCGTGATCGTTGTCCTGATTGCTGAGGTAATGGGACTGTGCACTGAATTCTCCTATTTCAGCAGCTCCTGCTCCTCCCCTTCCCCCCCCCCCCCCCCAGGCCT